GGGTTATCTTGCTACTACTGTGTTGTACATATTAGCCATTGTGGGTTATCTTGCTACTACTGTGTTGTACATATTAGCTATTAGGGGTCATCTTACTACTACTGTGTGGTAAACAGCACGTGTAATACAGATTCTGTTGATAACTAAGGTAAGATTAAATATTTCTGTACGCAGCATCTTATGGTGAACAGTAGGTTTCTAGTACATCAGCCGACATTAAGTAACCATGACCTGCTGAAAACTTCAATCGTGTAAAATATCGAAAAATAAAAATTATCATCCTCTGAAGATTAAACACGGATTAAGTAAAAATTTTTATTCTCTAAAGATTAAACATGGATTAAGTTAAAATTGTTACTTTCTGAGGATTAAACATAGATTACGTTCAAATTGTTACTTTCTGAAGATTAAATATGGATTAAGTTGAAATTGTTATCCTCTGAAGATTAAACAGGGATTAAGTAAAAATGTTTATTCTCTAAAGATTAAACATAGATTAAGTTAAAATTGTTACTTTTTGAAGATTAAACATAGATTACGTTAAAATTGTTACTTTCTGAAGATTAAACATGGATTAAGTTAAAAATTCATTCTCTAAATATTAAAAATGGATTAAGTTAAAATTGTTACTTTCTGAGATTAAACATGGATTAAGTTAAAATTGTTTCTTTCTGAAGATTAAACATGGATTAAGTTAAAATTGTTACTTTCTAAAGATTAAACATAGATTAAGTTAAAATTGTTACTTTCTGAAGATTAAACATGGATTAAATTAAAATTGTTACTTTCTGAAGATTAAACATGGATTACGTTAAAATTGTTACTTTTTGAAGATTAAACATGGATTATGTTAAAATTGTTACTTTCTGAAGATTAAACATGGATTAAGTTAAAATTGTTACTTTCTGAACATTTAACATGGATTACGTTCAAATTGTTACTTTCTGAAGATTAAACATGGATTAAGTTAAAATTGTTACTTTCTGAAGATTAAACATAGATTTAGTTAAAATTGTTACTTTCTGAAGATTTAACATGGATTAAGTTAAAATTGTTACTTTCTGAACATTTAACATGGATTACGTTCAAATTGTTACTTTCTGAAGATTAAACATGGATTAAGTTAAAATTGTTACTTTCTGAAGATTAAACAGGGATTAAGTTAAAATTGTTTCTTTCTGAAGATTTAACATTGATTAAGTTAAAATTGTTACTTTCTGAAGATTAAACATGAATTAAGTTAAAATTGTTACTTTCTGAAGATTAAACATGGATTACGTTAAAATTGTTTCTTTCGGAAGATTTAACATGGATTAAGTTAAAATTGTTATTCTCGGGAGATTAAATACAGATTAAGTAAAAAAAAATTACCCTCTGGAGATTTACATGGATTAGGAAGTAAAATCTAATTTTGTTTAGCTTTGATGTATTTAGGTTTAAGTCTTTAAAATATTTAAAACGTAAATGTACTTAATAATTTTTGTTTACGTTAAACGTTTCTAAAAACATGTAAACAACGTTTTTCTTCCCTAATTAAAATTGATTTTCGTTGTGATACCTAAAAAAGATTCGGTGATAACATTTCTAATAAATTAAACTTCGCGGTTGTATTGAGGGTTTTCAAAACTTTACTGTTGCTAAATATTGGTAGACTTATAAATATGATATTAATTAATGTTCATGTAAGCTAAAAGTTAGTTTTAACTACCTTTGCAGACCGTTGTGAAAACAAACGTTGTGAGTATTATGCTGTATGTGAAGACGACGGGAATGGTGGCGCAAAGTGCGTCTGTCCTCAGTCTTGTGTCCAGGTAAGACTAGTTTAGGTAGTTGGAGTTATGGATGTTTAAAGTTTTAACTAATTAACGCTGTTAACTCTGTAGTTGGAGTCTCCAGTGTGTGGAAATGATGGAGAAACGTACAGAAACGAGTGTGAACTAAAGGTGGCAGCATGTAACAAGAAACGGTACATCAAAGTTGTTTCTAAAGGTCCATGTGGTGAGATT